CGGAATCCCAAGTTTCATGAATATAATTTAAACGAGTGTTCAAGACAGGAATATCTGTGTCTGAAATTTCAGAAGGGAAAACAGTGGGGTGATAACCCTGATTTACATAAAACGGACTATGATTAAATAATTCATGAGTCCATTATTCCTGGCAAACTCCAGCCATGTCTAAGAGTTCATACCAGTTAGATTGATTGGCATCGATAAAACAACGTAAATAAGATTCTAAGGACTGATTGGCACTCTCTGCTGCGCCATTAGTCTGAGGGTGATATGCTGAAGAAAATGAAAGTTCTATACCCAATTGTTTACAATTGTTTACAAAAGGCACGCCAGAACCTAGAAATAAATTGGGTACCTCTGTCAGATACTATGTTTTTAGGCACCCCATGTAAGCGAAATAACTCTTTTAAAAATATTTGTACAAGATCTTGAGCAGATGGTAATTTTTTAAGCCATTTTTGAGAATCTATCTATGACCATAAGGATTGTGTTAAATCCATTTGAGCTGGGCAGATCCACCATGAAATCCATGGCTAAATGGGTCCATGGAGCAGTAGGTATAGGCAGTGGTTGTACCAACCCAGGAGGTAATTTGTTAGAGGATTTAGAAACGGCACATATTTGACATGTCCCTACATAATCCTTGATGTCGTTCCTAATTGTAGGCCACCAGAACCTCCTGGAGATAGCAGAGAGAGTTTTATGGACTCCAGGATGGCCTGCTGTCAGATTATCATGGAATAAACCAAGTACCTTTTTCCTTAATAGTGGTGAAACGTACAGTTTATCCAGAGGTTTCTCCACGGGTGCCTGAGTTTGATCTACTATTATAGCACAGAAGAGTGGAGAAAACACTTCGGAAACAGTAGTAGCAATAAGGCATTCTGGAGGTATGATAGGGAATACCTCTTGTTCAGGAATCTCATCTGTCTCAAACTGTCTAGACAGTGCATCTGCCTTGGTGTTCTTGGTCCCGGGCCTATAGGTAATTACAAAATTGAATCGGGAGAGGAACAATGACCATCTAGCCTGACGAGAGGACAATCTCTTAGCGTCCCCAATATAAGACAAATTCTTGTGATCGGTAAAAATCAGAAGTGGCTCTTTGGAACCTTCTAAGAGATGCCTCCATTCTTTAAGGGCCAATAATTCTCTATTCCCAATCTCATAATTTCTCTTTGCAGTTGTTAGTTTTCGAGAGAAAAAGCCACAGGGATGTAAAGGTGTATCAGGACATTCTCTTTGAGACAGAATGGCTCCTAGTTCTGTTTCTGACGCATCTACTTCTAGAATTAATGGTTTTGTTAGATCGGGGTGTGTCAGGACAGGTGCTGAGGCAAATAAAGATTGTAATTGGTTAGGTTGGTAGTAGGAGAGATTACAGAGAAAAAACCTTTAATGAACTTGCGGTAATAATTCGCAAAACCTATAAAGCGTTGTGTAGCTTTAAGGCCTTTGGGTAACGGCCATTGTAAGACTGCTTCCAACTTGTGTGGGTCCATTTTGAAACCAGACGGAGATATAACATATCCAAGAAACTGTATCTCGGTCTGGTCAAACTGGCATTTCTCCAGCTTACTGTAGAGGCCGTTCTTTAACAGGGTTTTTAGTACTTTTCTCACATGTTCGTGATGTGTCTCTAGGTCTGGGGAATAGATGAGAATGTCGTCCAGATACACTAAAATGAACATGTGGAGGTACTCTCTAAGGACATCGTTAATGAAATCCTGAAATACCGCTGGAGCATTGCATAGTCCAAACGGCATAACTAGGTATTCATAATGTCCCATTCTTGTATTAAACGTGGTCTTCCACTCATGCCCTTCCTTAATTCTGACTAGGTTGTAAGCACTTCTGAGGTCGAGCTTAGTGAAGACTCGGGCTCCTTTCAACCTGTCGAATAATTCAGAAATAAGGGGAATGGGATAGGTGTTTTTTATTGTTATTCTATACAAACCCCTATAGTCTATACAATGACGTAGGTCACCTTTTTTAGAAATGAAGAAGAACCCAGCCCCAGCAGGTGAAGAGGATCTACATATGTGACCCTTTCTGAGAGCATCCTTTATATACTCTTCTAAACAAAGATTTTCTTGAGGAGATGCATATACTCCTTCTTTAGGAGGCATAGTACCTGAGATGTTTGGGTATTAAATACAATACAGGGGTACCTATTGAAGCTAGTCTCTCACCCTACTCAGGTTCAGTTCCCTCGAGAACTAAACATGGCCAACGAACACCACACGATGATCTCGGCAGAGATTGCAGATTTGGCGTCAAAACACGCTATTCAACAAATCCCATGGGACACAGAAGGGTTCGTGAGCAACCTGTTTCTGGTCCCCAAGAAAGGGGGTGGGGTACGTCCAGTAATCAATATCCGACCCCTAAATGCGTTTGTCCAATATCACCATTTCAAAATGGAGGGTATTCATTGCCATCGGGACCTCCTACTACCACCAGATTGGATGGTCAAAATAGATTTACCGGATGCTTATCTGACAATCCCTGTCGCGGAAGCGCACCAAAACCTACTGCAGTTTCAGTGGCAAGGAACGAAGTGGAAGTTTGTATGTCTACCATTTGACCTGTCCTCTGCGTCATGGTGCTTCACAAAGGTACTGAAGCAGGTGATTGCCTTCCTGCGCACACGAGGGGTCAGATTAATAATTTACCTAAACGATATCCTTCTCCTGTCTCAATCTCAATCCCAATTATGTGTTCACTTGTCTTGGACAACCCACCTTCTCCAGAACTTAGGATTCTTGGTGAATTGGGAGAAATCAGTTCTTCAACCCTCCAAATGCATGGAATTTCTGGGATTTCAAGTGGACTCTGTACAACAGAGAATGTGTCTACCCAAAGACAAAATGATTTCGATCAAGAAAGAGATCAGACGACTTATGAATCGTACGACCATTTCCCTCAGACAACTTGCGAGGATCATAGGGCTATTAGCATCATCCATATAAGCAATCTTCCCGGACCCGTTACATTATCTTGCCCTACAAAGGCTCATGTCTGGACACTCGTCCGGACACTCGTACGAAACCTGTGTTACACTGGACGAAGATTCCAGAGAGGAGTTGACATGGTGGCTAGCCCACATGAAGGCGTGGAACGGACAGACGATATTTGGGTCTATGTCAGATCTGGTCATAAAGTCAGACGCCAGCTTACACGGCTGGGGAGCGCGTTGCGGATCAGTTTCCACACGTGGCAGATGGTCCAACGAAGAAACGCTGCTACACATCAATTGCCTAGAACTGTTAGCGGCATCCTTTGCCATTCGCAGCATGACCCCCACAGGCATCTCATGCTCTATCCTAATCAAGATTGACAATGTCTCGGCGGTGCGTTATATCAACCACCTAGGGGGAATGAAATCGAAAGTTCTGGCACTGATGGTTCGAGATTTTTGGCATTGTCTGAAACACAGCATTTTGGTAATAGCGGAATATATCCCAGGACGAGACAATGCACTGGCGGATTGGAATTCTCAATATCTTCGAGACACAGGGGATTGGCATCTCCACCCAATGATCTTCCAACGTCTCTCTTGACTTTGGGGGCCTTTCAACATAGATCTCTTCACGTCTCAACTGAATACCCAACTCCCTCGGTTCTTCAGTTGGAGACCGGACCCAGATGCTCTGGCGACAGATGCATTCTTACAAGACTGGACCAAGGGCAAGAATTACACTTTTCCACCTTTCAACCTAATCTCTCAGACCCTTGCATGCCTTCGATATTCCAAAGGGACTCTAGTTCTGATAACCCCGATATGGAGGTCACAACCCTGGTTTCCACAGTTATTGGAAATGTCGACAGATTTCCCACGGCTGTTGCCAGACATACCTTACCTCCTGACCAATCCAGGGGGAATGAGTCACGAGTTGATTGACCAGGGTCTACTTCATCTGATAGCATGGCTCCTTTCAGGAGATCATGGAATCTCGAGGATGTTTCGCAGACGACACTCAGTCTCTTGGCAGAGTCTTGGGCACCAGGTACCAGACGTTCCTACGGGTCGGCTTGGAGGAAGTGGACTGATTGGTGCATGGGACAATCAGTGGATCTCATATCAGCTACTGTGAAAACAATCTTGCAATTCCTGACTCGATATGGTAGGTACAATGTCATACACGACACGAAGGTGAGTAAGGTATGCGATGAATATACTTATATTATACTTATAGTGATTGAATAACATAGTAGACGAGTTGGATAGTTGTGGAATAGCAGTCGCAAGTTTCGATATTACCATATATTTCTTTTTTTTTAGCTTGAATACACCTGTGAGAGTTGGTGGTTGAAGCTGTTCCCTGTTGAATTTCCGCTTATGGTTTTGTTTCGGGAATTCGTGTTTGTTTTAATATTTTGGAACTTACAATATGGTCTTCGGGATCTACGCAGAAAGAGGAGGAGTCAAGGAGAACCACACCCATATGGATACTACTGGATGCTGATTGGTGCCACTGTTACCAGGCTGTTATGTTTTTTCTATGATTCTCTCATACTTCCTTTTTCTTGCTGCTGGCAGGGGCGTATTAGCAGCGAGGCAAACAAGGCATTTGCCTTGGGCGGCATTTTTCAGGGGGCGGCAAAAAACGCCGCCCCCCCAAATGCCCAGGGCAAATGCCTAGTTAGCCTTGCGGCTAACTGACATCCTGAGCGGGCGGGCGTCGCTGGCAGGCGGGCGGCTGGCGAGGGAGCACTTCCTCTGAGCTGACTGCTCAGCTCCCTCGCGTGCCGCAGAGTGAGGCTGGGAGCCGGAAGATGACGTCATCTTCCGGCTCCCAGCCTCACTCTGCAGCCGGCGCGCGAGGGAGCTGAGAAGATAGCTCATAGGAAGTGCTCCCTCGCCGCACCCCCGACCTGCAGGCAATAGACCACCGGACCACCAGGGAGAGAGACCCCCCCCAGCACTCCCAAAGGTAAGGAGGTTGGGGGGGGGGATTTAAATTAAAAAAAAGTTAATGTGTGTGTGTGTCTGACTGTGTGTGTGTGTTTGTGTCTGACTGTGTTTGTGAGTGTGTGTGTGGTTGTGTCTGACTGTGTGTCTGACTGTGTGTGTGTGACTGTGTTTGTGTCTGACTGTGTGTCTGACTGTGTGTGTGTGACTGTGTTTGTGTCTGACTGTGTGTGTGTGTGTCTGACTGTGTGTGTGTTTGTGTCTGACTGTGTGTGTGTGTCTCTGACTGTGTGTGTTTGACTGTGTGTGTGTGTGTATTTAGAAGGTGGGGCGGGGGGAAGGGTTGGGTGGGGGTGGCGCGGGGGGAGGGAGGCGCCTGAGTTTTGTCCTGCCTAGGGCAGCACAAAACCAGGATACACCACTGGCTGCTGGGAGTATAATAAAGAAAGAGAATGCATAATTCTCGCCTCCGTGTCATTAATAAAATCGTGACTTTACATCATGTTAATAGTAAAATCTGGGAATTAACAGCTAATTTTAATTTACCTAGAGGCAAGATAAATCTTTATATAGTATTCATACTATGGACAAACACTGATTTCTCTTTTCCTTTGGCATTTTGTTCTTTTTTTATTTTTTTTATTTTTTGCTGCATTGTCTTGTACGTGTAAGATAGTATTGTATTGTTAATGTTAGTAATGTATGCATGTATGTGAATACAGGATAGCCTATACTCTTACTATGTAATAAAAAGACTTGGTATCATTACTGTAGATCTAGGAGCCGTATATCTGTCAATTATTCAAATTATTTTTAGAACAAGAGAAAGCTATTTCCTGTAAATTGGTGTTTTTATATGTCTCAGTGTTAACAAACAAAACATTTACCGTATATACTCGAGTATAAGCCGACCCGAATATAAGCCGAGGCCCCTAATTTTACCCACAAAAACTGGGAAAACTTATTGACTCGAGTATAAGACTAGGGTGGGAAATGCAGCAGCTACTGGTAAATTTCTAAATAAAATTAGATCCCCAAAAAATTATATTAATTGAATATTTATTTACAGTGTGTGTATATGATGAATGCAGTGTGTGTGTATGAGTGCGCAGTGTGTGTATGAGTGCGCAGTGTGTGTATAAATGCAGTGTGTATATGAGTGCAGTGTGTGTGTATGAGTGCAGTGTGTGTGTGTGTGTGTGTGTGATGCAGTGTGTGTTTGTGTTGCAGAGCCTTGGTGGGGGGTGGGCATTTTTATATAAAAAAAAAAAAAAATAATATTATTATTTATTATTTTAATTTTTTGGGTTATATTATTTTTTTAATTATTTTTTTATTATTATTTATATTTATATATTATTAATTAATATTATTTGAATTTTTTTGTTATATTATTATTATTTTTATTATTATTATTATTTATATATTATTAATTTATTTATTTTGTTGTCCCCCCTCCCTGCTTGATACATGGCAGGGAGGGGGGCTCTCCTTCCCTGGTGGTCCAGTGGCATTGGCAGTTCAGTGGGGGGAGGAGGGGGGCTGGCAGAGCTGTTACTTACCTCTCCTGCAGCTCCTGTCAGCTCTCTCCTCCTCCGCGCCGGTCCGTGCAGCTGTCAGCTCACACTGTAAGTCTCGCGAGAGCCGCACTATGACCCCGCGGCTCTCGCGAGACTTACACTGGGAGCTGACCGAGGTGCTGACCGGACCGGCGCTGAGGAGGAGGGAGCTGACAGGAGCTGCAGGAGAGGTAAGCGCTCGCTGCCAGCCCCCAGTCTGTATTATGGCAATGTAAATTGCCATAATACAGACACTGACTCGAGTATAAGCCGAGTTGGGGTTTTTCAGCACAAAAAATGTGCTGAAAAACTCGGCTTATACTCGAGTATATACGGTAATAAAGAATATATGCAAAAAAAATAAGCAGGGATTTCATTGTTACTGTACTTTGATATTTATATACAAATATAAAAAACACTTAGAATGAAATGTTATATATGCATTCTTATGTATAATATATACTAAAATGCTTTAATTATTTTATAATATATTAAAAGTAAAAATGTATGTGTATATATACGTGTGTGTATATATATATATATATATATATATATATATATATATATATATATATATATATATATATACTTAATATATAATTATACAAATTACTTAATACAATTACATAATTATGTCAAATTAACAGTTAAATATAGGTGTAGAATTTATATATATATATATATAAATTCTACACCTATATTTAACTGTTAATTTGACATTTCCCTTCTGCAAAGAAGACTAAACATCCCTATGTATTTTTAAACAAATGGAGGTTTTTAGTTACCTCCAATGGCCATGAGAGGATATGCCCACCTGCCACGTCAAGGCAGACCTCTAACCATTCACCTTGCTTCCTTGAGCTTCTGGCAAAGATATCTGAGACAGAAAGGAGTATTTTTGTTATATACATCTCTACATGCTTATTAACCCTTAATAGGGAACACATGGGATGGGCAGCACCTAAGAGGTCTTCCTTGATGTGGCAGGTCTACCTCCTGATCCATATAGGCGATGATGACCTCAGTCAACTACACAATAAATTTATTCTAAGCATCTGAGTCCTCTGTCGCTTATTTAGGCTTTAGACTCACTAACGATGTGGACACACTGTATCAGGTTACGCCCCTTACTGGAAAAAGCATATGCAGACCTAGTGGTCTGGGACAAGCTGAACATCTAGTGGATGGGACGTGACGCCTCCATCAAGATGAACCTCCTCCCTAGATTTTTGTATATTCTCCAAGCGCTCCCTGTCCTGTTCCACAAAAGAGACAGTTTCCTTACAAGCGGCAGTCAATCAATTTGTTTGGAATGGCTCTAAACCAAGAGTTTACACATGATGTCCCCAGGAAATACGGCAGCTTAAACCAATGGCACCTTCCGCATACGAAACGATGTATGGACATCGAACATTCCATCTTCAGGTGAGACCATCCCTCACTATATACGTGGCTACCATAACAGCAATGCACCCTACCACCACCAACTGCACCTACGATCACTCACTTCTTATACCTGTGGGATAATCTACAATTTAAATTCAACCTCTCTTTATATCTCTCCCCCATGACTCCAATCTGCCAAAATAGAATGTTTCCGCTAGGGTTCAAGGTGAAACATTTCACCCAATTTGAACAGAGAGATATTACTCGACTGTTGCCTCCCTAACCACATTTGACTACTTTCAGTATATGCAGCTTCGCAGTCTCACATCCACATCTTGCGTCTAACAAGTGGGCAGAGCTCCACTCACAAAAAAAAGATAGTATTGCCTCACCGACCAGGAAAGGCCAAATATCGAATCTCTACATTACACTAGCAACACACTCCACGCAGATATCCTTACCATATATTGCGGCCTGGGAGGAGGACCTAGGGTGGTGTGGGAGCGGGCCCTAGAGACAGAGCTCAACCTTGACTTCCTAAACACTTTTAGTTTTCCACCCCACTTCTTCTTCCTTCTTATTCCCCCCCTCGCTAGTTTTCCACTAACTTCTCCCAACCTTTATTTTTTTCTTTAATCATTTTAGGCCTTTTGGTGCAGAAATAGTGATGTCCCGAACGGTTCGCGAATGGTTCGCCACGGACTCAGCATTGAGTAAACTTTGACCCTGTACCTCACAGACAGCAGACACATTCCAGCCAATCAGCAGCAGACCCTCCCTCCCAGACCCTCCCACCTCCTGGACAGCTCACTAAGAATGCAGCTTCAAAATGGATGCTGTCCAGGAGGTGGGAGGGCCTGGGAGGGAGGGTCTGCTGCTGATTGGCTGGAATGTGTCTGCTGACTGTGAGGTACAGGGTCAAAGTTTACTGAATGATGAGTCCGTGGTGAACCGTTTGCGAACCGTTTGGCGAACCGTTCAGGACATCACTATGCAGAAATAAAATGACCCCAGTAAATACAATTTTAGGACTTCTCACCATACACATACTCTGAAAGCACGACACACCACGACTGCACGTCTGTTCCCTCATATGAGACTAGACCATTGCTCCTGACCAGTGACAGTACTGGAGGAGCCCACAATGGGGCCCACAATATGCCAGTGATCACCCCTTACACAGGGCAAATATCATTTCTACAAACCAGCGAAAAAGAATAACTGGGGAATAACCAACACAGCAGAACAAAATGGCATCCCCACAATTGCAATTGTTAATGTTATCATACACGTGAATGGTCATGCAACATGTTATCACCTTGAGCTTACGCATTGGTTATTTGTCAGAAACTACTGCGTGTAAACACAATCTACGTATGTAATAATATGTACCCTTTGAGCCAGGCGTGCTGTGCACTGAAGGCCTATATTATTCTGTTCTGTCTTACACTGACTTTCCATGTACTACTCTAAAATGTATATAATGTATCATGACGATGATATCATCAATGAAAGTGCAGTTTTTGTGTTAAAAGTGCCAAAAAAAAAAATATGAACGCTAATTTTGGCCTGAGTTTGTGACTAAGTGACTACTAAAAAAACAAACTGGACATACCCCATTTTGGATACCCTCGGTTGTCTAATTCTGCAAATGGTATGGCATGATGGGGGTAATTTTTCTTGGGCTTGCATAAGGTCTCAAAGGCAGACCTTTTATTACCCAGGACCCTTTGCTCTAACCGGGAGATAATTGTGAAGTAATTCAATTATCTCCCAGGACAAAGACCAACCGCCATTTTAAATGACAAGGACAAAAAGGCATAAAAATACATAACTGTTCAATATTAAAGCATAACATAGGCATTCAACAGGTCCCCAGATAGCTAGGATCTGAGTGCACAAAAGTACCGAATAGCGCTCAGATCCTATGTACACAGTCCAATCGCCGTGGAGTCAAAGTGTTCACAAAGTCTGTTCTCTATACGAATGGGCGCCACGGCATGGCTATCTGGCGTATGGTTTATTCGTTCCCAAAGTACCGAATAGAGGGACGTTCGTGGATTTCTACCGAAGGAGAAGGGAGGTCGGCGGCTTCAGCGGTGTTCGTGACAAAAAGAGTCCATTCTGGGTTCCATGAGTTGGCCGACGAACACCGCTGAGTTTTTGTGGCTGCGACCTTGTGTTCGGTATATGAATGGCGGCCACCCAGCTACAGTATCAATTAAGAGGTGTCTGCGGTTAATCTCAACAATCTAATGGGACCAAGAGGTTAACCAGCAGCACACTTCTCTACTGAGTGGCCGGCCGTTCGGGAGTTTTATTCGGTAGTTACAAAGGGAACGGTGTAGAGTCCACATGAACAGGAAAACACGAACTAACGAATGAAGAATAAGTCTCTGTAAGTTCAAGACAGAGAGATCTGTCACAGTATATGTATGTGTTACTGTGTGCACCTGAGTGTGTGTATGTGCTTGTATCTGTATCTGAGTGTGTGTATCTGTATGTCAAGGTGTGTGTGTATGTTTGTATGTGCCATTGTGTGTCTGTGGGTCAAGGTTTGTGTATGTGTCACTGTGTGTATCTTAGTGTGTGCATCTCTGTGTTTATATGTCAGTATGCCTGTCTTAGTGTTTAATGTGCCAGTGTGTGTATCAGTGTGTTTGTATGTGCCAATGTGTGCTTCTGAGTCTGTGTATCAGTGTGTGTATCTGTGTGTCAAGGTTTGTGTATGTGTCACTGTATATACCTGAGTGTGTGTGTGTGTACTGGTGTATGTGCCATTGTGTATCTGTGTGTCAAGGTGTGTATCTTTGTGTCAGTGTGTATATGAATGTGTGTGTATGTGTCAATGTTTTTATATGTGTGCCTGTGTGTATGTATGTATGTGGCAGTATATGTGCATATATCCCATCAAACACCAACACAACATGCAAACACACTCCTGCAAACACAAATATTACATACAAAAACCAACCCTTCACTCAAACACTAATACTACACACAAATGTACATTTGCATTTAAAAGCCAACACTACATCCAAGCAGGGATGTTTTAGCTGCGAGGCAAACAAGGAATTTGCCCTGGGCGGCATTTTCCAGGGGGCGGCAAAAAAGCCGCCCCCAAATGCCCAGGGCAAATGCCTTGTTAGCCTTGCAGCTAACTGAAATGCTGAGCGAACTGATGGGCATGCTGCTGGGCGGGCGGCGAGGAAACACTTTTCCCTGAGCTGTCTGCTCAGCTCCCTCGCGTGCCGCCCGCAGAGTGAGGCTGGGTGGCGCGCGAGGGAGCTGAGCAGACAGCTCAGGGGAAAGTGCTTCCTCACCGCCCGCCCAGCAGCCAGCCCTTCAGCCCGACCGGCAGCCCCAGGGAGAGGGAGACCCCCCTCCCCCAGCATCCCTAAAGGTAACGAGGCTGGGGGGGTTTAAATTAAAAAAAAAAAAAGTGAGTATTAATGTGAGTGAGTGTGTGTGTCTTATAGTGTGTCTGTTAGTGTGTGTGTGTGTGTGTCTGTTAGTGTGTGTGTGTGTGTTTCTGTTAGTGTGTGCGTGTCTGTTAGGGTGTACAACAAGAAAAAGGAAAGGCTGCGCCAAAAGGAATAATAAATAGTAAAAGAATACACAAATTATAGGAATATAAAAGAATATATAGAAAATATATATATATATATACACATATATACACATATATATATATACACATATATATATAAAACAGTCCCAATTAATATCAGAGATTGAATAGTCTTAGTCACTGTTTCAGTTGGTGCGGAATCTTCTCTGTTTGTAGTAGATCGTCTTGTGATATAGAAGACACAATGAGAAAGGACCAATCATGCGGAGTGTATAAGATGAATATTAATGAATTAAAATATAAATATTACACTCACATTTGGATGAGCTATGGCCAGCTCAGGTGTAACAGGCATACAGCGGAATCATCCCCGCTTGTAGGATGTATGGATACTTGTCCTCCGAAAGGTAATGGTATTCACCAATCTTTACTTTAAATGAGTGTGGCAGTAAGCATTTATATTACAAATACTTTTCTTTCTATTTTCTTTTTTCAAGTAAAGATTGGTTGAAAACGAAGTTTCTAACAATAAATATAAGGATGAAATAATAGCGCATCACGTGACTCGCACAGCACTATGGGGAATGTAGTGCGCGAGTCACGTGACCGGCGCCAACATAGACATGCTGGGACCGGAAGTAGTAAGGGGCTTGGCAGCATGGGAGATGTAGTTGTGCGGCCGTCCTGTAGGCAGACAGCACGCATGTAATAGGGGGCGGGTTTGAGATGCGTCACGTGACCTGCGGCATGTAGGGAAGTGTAGTACGCGGGCCACGTGATCAGCATCAATAGTAGAATTATGGCGGCGCATGGCATGGGAAATATAGTCATAAGAAGTCCGGCCGCCATTTTTGTAGGCAACATCTGTGTTAAATATAGGGAAAAATATATAATATTAATAAATATATCAGCATATAAGCTGATAAAAGGAACAGAAACAACTAAATGGTGGTGGGTTTTACCAGCAACTAAGTTAATTTTTATATGTTATGGGGCTGTGTGGGAAAACATAGGTAAGGGAAGCCATATTGGTTGTGGGCATATATATGAAAAAAGGTTAAAATACATATAAATTTCAAAATAAAATATATAAATAACATATAGAAACATTGCAAATATTCAAGTACATAACTTTGTACAGATGTTAATTAAAGACATTAATATAGCACATATTTGTAAAAATGCGGTCAGGTTGGGGGCATCCTAGACTATAATGCCGTAGGTAACAACTATGAATAGGATAGCCCCAACATGACAGCAAAAAACAGTACATAAACTAAATCCAGAAATGCGTAAAATAAATAAAATGGTTAAAAACAATGGGAACAATTAAAACAATGGTATTATAAAAAGTTGAATAAATCAAAATCTACATTTAAGCCTTGGAGGGCTAGGGTCTGCAAATTGAATACCCACTCCATTTCGGATCTTCCTAAAATGTTTTTTATATTACCACTAGTGATGTCCCGAATGGTTCGCCACGGACTCATCATTGAGTAAACTTTGACCCTGTACCTCACACTACATTCCAGCCAATCAGCAGCAGACCCTCCCTCCCAGACCCTCCCACCTCCTGGACAGCTCACTAAGAATGCAGCTTCAAAATGGACGCTGTCCAGAAGGTGGGAGGGACTGGGAGGGAGGGTCTGCTGCTGATTGGCTGGAATGTGTCTGCTGACTGTGAGGTACAGGGTCAAAGCTTACTCAATGATGAGTCCGTGGCGAACCGTTCATGGCGAACCGTTCGGGACATCACTAATTACCACCTCTCCAGGGGACCTTACATTTTTTAATTCCAATACATTTGAGAAATTTAGGATCTCAATTATGTTTAACAAAATGCTTAGATACGGAATAAATTGGGTACCCATTTTTTATGTTTCTGCAGTGTGCTAATCTTGTTTTTAGGCACCTGGTGGTCATACCTAGATATTGGAGGCCACAAGGGCACTCCAATAAGTAGATAACATTAGTAGTATTACATTCGATAAAATCTCTTATGGTATAGCTCTTATTAGTTATATTAGATTTAAAACTGGTAACTTTTGAATGTGTAGATGGGTTGGTGTTTTTACACACAATGCAGCGTTTACATTTATAAAAACCTGTAGCTCCATCCAAAAAGGTATGATGGGTATTTTTGATTTCTCTAGTGTAATTATTGGTTAAAATAGATCTAAAATGTGGGGCAACTCTAAAAACAATTTTGGGTTGTATTGGTAAAATCTCTTTAAGAAGGTCATCTTGTCTCAAAAGGTGCCAGTGTTTTTTGATTGTTTTTTTAACAATATGGCTTCCCTTACCTATGTTTTCCCACACAGCCCCTTAACATATAAAAATTAACTTAGTTGCTGGTAAAACCCACCACCATTTAGTTGTTTCTGTTCCTTTTATCAGCTTATATGCTGATATATTTATTAATATTATATATTTTTTCTTATATTAAACACAGATATTGCCTACAAAAATGGCGGCCGGAATTCTTATGACTATATTTCCCATGCGCTGCCATAATTCTACTATTGATGCTAATCATGTGACCCGCGTACTACACTTCCCTACATGCCGCAGGTCACGTGATGCATCTCAAACCCACCCCCTATTACGTGCGTGCCGTCTGCCTACAGGACGGCTGCACAACTACATCTCCCATGCTGCCAAGCCTCTTACTACTTCCGGTCCCAGCATGACTATGTTGGCGCCGGTCACGTGACTCGCGCACTACATTCCCCATAGTGCTGTGCGAGTCACATGACGCGCTATTATTTCATATCCTTATATTCATTGTTAGAAACTTTGTTTTTCACCAATCTGTACTTTAAATGAGTGTGGCAGTTAGCATTTATATTACAAATACTTTTCTTTCTATTTTCTTTTTTCAATTGTAAATTTGAAATATTTTTATTATGTGCAAAGAATTGCTCTGTTTGGCTATTGACTGATGATGTCATTTTGGCGCCATTTTTAAATGACTTATGTACCTATATATACTCTTCAATTGCCAGGTTTTAATGTTATTTCAATTCGATAAAGCCCTAGTGGCGAAACGCGTTATTGGTTTTATAATATTGTGTATTTTATATAATAAATAATTTTGTGTTATTATCCTTTCACACAATTTTTTTTATTTTTTATTATTTTAATAATAAATAATTATTTTTTCTGGCATTTTACTTATTTCTAAATATATATATATTTATTTTTTTTTTAATTTTTTTTTTATTTCTTTATTTTGTTCGTGCAGGGATAAGACATACAATTTGCACTGCCACAATAGCTGGTGCAGATCGATTGGCATTCACATATGTTTACATGGCATCAGAAACATTGCACTTTTTTTTTTTTAAATGAAAAAACAGACAGGTTTACATTGTATACTTCCTAGCCACCTAGATGGAACTGCCGCTTTGCCCACCGATTGATAACGTGGTTTAGGGAAAGGTAGGAGTAATACTTTTTTTTTTATATATATATTCTTTTATATTCCTATAATTTGTGTATTATTTTACTATTTATTATTCCTTTTGGCGCAGCCTTTCCTTTTTCTTGTTGTATACTTTTATTATAGAGGGTTAGAGGGTTAACCTCTGTCAGGCCGCTGCCTATCCACTATATTATTAGCGCTAACCTACCTCTTTATCCTCTTCTGTCTTCTGTAAAGTGGTTTTATTAAAAAAAACAATCAAAAAACACTGGCACCTTTTGAGACAAGATGACCCTCTTAAAGAGATTTTACCAATACAACCCAAAATTGATTTAGAGGTGCACCAAATTTTAGATCTATTTTAACTAATAATTACACTAGAGAAATCAAAAATACCCATCATACCTTTTTGGATGGAGCTACAGGTTTTTATAAATGTAAACGCTGCATTGTGTGTAAAAACACCGACCCATCTACACATTCAAAAGTTACCAGTTTTAAATCTAATATAACTAATAAGAGCTATACCATAGGGGGGGCGTGGCCGACTGCCGGACAAGATGGACGCATAATCCTCAGCTCCGGCAAACGGGCTGAAAATCCGTTGCAATCCTACCACACAGAACGCATCACAAACTTCAACACAGAAGATGTCGCAACACAAGAGCAAGAAGAACTCGACAAAAGCTGAAAAATTAAATCTCTTTCAACAGAAACCTCATCTATCACACTCGGGCCTACTACCGTCTACCCAAGATGGCGACGAGGGTACCGACGATGAAAGTGCCTCGCAAAGCATACCTGAACCAGGGGATGTCCTGACAAAAAGCCACCTAACTCAAGCATTGGAAGCCCTGTCCCAAAAACTGATTGGGTCCTGGCAGCATTCCATGGACTCCCTTCGTAAAGATGTCCAAGAAATAGGCAAGAGAACGTCGCACATGGAAACAAAAATGGACGAAATGGCGGCTGCCCACAACAATCTCGCAACACACGTGGAGCGATTGGAAGACAAACTACTACTCACGGAAACGAAACTGGCGGACATGGAGGACAGGTCTCGGCGAAACAACCTGCGGCTGCGGGGGGTACCTGAGACAGTGCTCCCAGCGGATCTGCAAGCATATGTGCGAGGCCTGCTTAGTGCTTACGTGCCCGAGATCCCGTCCGATATGCTGTTGCTCGACAGGGTTCATCGAGTGCCGCGTCCACGCCACCGGTCAGATTCCTCACCCAGAGATGTTCTGTTACGTGCCCATTATTACCACATTAAAGAGCACGTCCTCCGAGCCAGCAGGAGCAAACCCAAGCCTCCAGACGATTACGCCATGGTACAAATCTTCCCAGACATCTCAGCGATCACCCTGCAAAGAAGGAAAGATTTCGCCCCCATTACTGCGGCACTTCGCACCAACGGAGTGCGGTACAGGTGGGGATATCCTACGAAGCTCTTGGTGACCAGAAATGGCTCTCTCAAGGCTATCCTGACCCCCGAAGATGGCGCCAACCAGCTGAAGTCGTGGGGCATCAACCCACAACTAGAACCTGCGCAAGCTCCATCACTGGGCAGATTACGCCTAGACTGGCAGAAAGCGCCGGACAGGCATTAAACCACACTGATAGCTGTATGAGGGACACGCAAGTATTGTGCACTACACACTTATTTCCCACAGGCATACTGACATTGGAAGGGCCCAGCGGAACTCTCACTCTTGTACATTTTGGCATCTCCGGAGAGTTCAACCACTCACCCACGGGGGGATACTTCCTTGACTGAACACTGAACATATGGACATGCCAGGAGATGGACTTCCCCTGAGATGGCATACTAGTAACTGTGAACTCTCACATTGCCACATTGACAGTAATGGCTGGGAGATTGGGGAGATGCAGGGTTGTTGGGGACCCAGCAAGATACATGCTAGTTGTTTCGCTGTGATATTGGCCGAGCTCATGTGGGTGGGCGGCGTGGGCCCGGGCGCCTTCCCCCGGTCATTCTCCTCCGAGGGGGGGAGGGACGGGGGGGACGCGCGGGGTACCTCGTGGCCCATACCAATGGCCATTTTATGTGTCTCGTTATGCGTCTTATGTTTTTTTTGTAACTGTGCAAACCCCTTTACCAAACCCTAGCCATTGTTGAGGTGTTACAAGGGATACTGTTGATAGACCCTCGTGACTGCACACAATCACCAACCCTGGGGAAAAAGGTGACCCTTAGACCCCTCGGATAAGGTTTAGGATCAGGAGTGAAACGGAGAAGCCTGAAATACAGCACGGATGCAGGTGCCCTTTCAGATGCTGATAAGAGCCTCAACAGCTCGTCCTGTCACACATACTCTTGCGAATGATTAGCATTGCGCTGTACTCGGTACAGCAGCCACTCATGCAGCAACCACACCCAAGTTTTCCTTCCCAGTCCTCACATATTCAAAAAAAAAAAAAAAGTTCTGTCCAAACCCAAAGGCTACCAAGCCCACACGCCACACCACAGGAGACAAATGTTTCCGTACCCCATGGTGCGCACCCACCGCACCAATTCCCTGCTACAGGGAACATGTATATATTCCTCTCCTTCCAACCCTCTCTTTACCACACCCAAGTTGTCCCCTCCCTGCTCGAGGTACATTAGTCTCTTTGAGAATAGATCCACAAGGGTACTCCAAATAAACAAACAAATACTACAACCTGAGAATACACACTATTAACGCGTGCGGCTTGAACACCCCGCACAAACGGCGTGTCCTGATAGACATGGCCAGGAAAGACAAAATAGACGTCCTCTGTGTGCAAGAAACCCACTTTACACATACCAAAGTTCCTAAGTTTGCACAACAGGAATATCCCACGCAATACCACTCCACACATTCCTCCAAGTCCAAAGGCGCCTCCATACTCATCCACAAATCACTCTCGTTCCAACTACTTCAAGTCAAAAAAGATTCCCAAGGCAGATATGTCATCATTCACTGCACGATAAACGACATTAATTACACGATTGCTTCAGTGTACAGCCCGAACACTAACCAAAGAAATTTCTTACACAAAGTCCTTTCCAAAATACCTAGCCCACAATTGCAAAATTTTATTTTGTGTGGAGACCTGAATCATATATTCGACCAAACTTTAGACACGACAGTCCCTGGTGACACCAGGAGACAGGCCGCCCTCAAACCCCAATGCAAAGCTATGACAAAATTGCTGCTAGAATACAATATCTATGACTCCTGGCGCACAACTCACCCAAACGTACATGAATACACACACCACTCAAGAGCCCATAAAACAAGCTCACGCATTGATCACATCCTCATAGCTGCACATCTCCTCACATCCTTGATAGACTGCACGATAGGGGACTTGACATGGTCAGACCATGCACCCGTACGCCTAACACTACAAGACAAGTTTCCCTTCAGGGGAACCTCCCCATGGAAATTGAATGACAGCCTTCTGTTTGACGACTCCTTCAAAAATAGAAGGAAATAAAACTATATTTCGACACAAACTACACGCTGCAAACACAACCCCAAAACGTATGGCTCGCCCATAAAGCGGTAATACGGGGACTAATCATTAGCCGGGCAGCATACCTAAAAAGGAAAGCACAAGATGAATACACCACCCTCCTCAAAAAACTCAGAGACCAAACAAATGCCACCTCCTTTCCCCGTCTACTGCAGGCCAGGACGAAATATACCGCACTACTAAAGCAATAAAGACATATTATTCCAACGGATATCAGATACACTGACTAAACTCAAACTGAAGCAATACTCTCAGGGTAATAAAGCGGGGAAGGCACTGGCTTCCCTATTAAGGCAACACCAAACCCGGTCAAAAATACCGCACGTATTTAACCCTGCAGGCACCAAAATTACAAACCCACAGCAGATAAATGACACTATGGCAGAGTTCTACGACAAACTCTACAATCTAGCACAGGATACTAAGACACATCAACCCACAATTCAAGAAATACAAAACTTCCTAACACGTGCCTATCTCCCCTCACTTAGCCCAGCTCAACAGGCAATGATCCAACAACCGATCACCGCCACTGAGATAGAAAAAACTATCGACGCCCTACCACAGGGGAAAACACCAGGCCCAGACGGCTTCACGAACATTTATTACAAATGTTTCAAATCTACCTTAGCCCTGCAAATAGAAAAAACATTTAACGCCATCATAATGACAAGCTATATGCCTTCAGAAATGCTGATAGCCCACATTGCAATGTTGCCCAAGCTGGGGAAGCCACCTACCAAACCCCAAAACCTGAGACCGAT